ATTTGCATTAAAATTATCTGTATAAAACGGGCACTGGTAAGTGCTGAAATCAGTTTATGCCCCTAAGTAACTTAAAGACTCTGAGAAGTTTATATATATTATTAATTTACCTGGAAAGTTGTGTTGTAAAAATAAGAAAAATTAAATTTCAGCCAGCTCTTATTCAAGTGATCATAAGTTTGAGGTGTTTCCATTTGAATAAGTTTTGAAAGTTTCTCACTTCCAATTTGAATACTGTTTCCTCTCTCCATTGCATGGAAGTGTGCACCCACAAGTTAAATGTGGAGAGAGCAGTGTCAGTGTGCGCGGGCGTGTGTGTGTGTGTGTGTGTGTGTGTGTTTGGTGGGCTGCACAGAGGCAGGGAAATAAAAGGAAACCAATGGGCCTAATCTGATAGCATAGGTAAAACCTTTACATTTTTAGGAAACTGACCTAACAACACCTGAGAGAAACACAGTGCTATCCTGTGAGATGGTCCAGGCACTACAGTAGTGCCCCCTTATCTGTAGTTTTGCTTTCCATGGTTTCAGTTACCCGCGGCCAACTGAAGTCCAAAAATACTAAGTGGAAAATTCCAGAAATAAACAATAAATAAGTTTTAAATTGCACCCCATTCTGAGTAGTGTAATGAAATCTCATGCTGTCATACTCCACCCCGCCTGGGACACGAATCATCCCTTTGTTGTATCCCTAACCATCGACATTGTCTGCTCCTGACATCCAACCATTGACATTGTCATGGCTCGATGATCCTCCTTCTGATGTATCATCAGAAGGTCAACAGTAGCCTAACGCTATGTCACAAAGCCTACATCATTCTCTTCACTTCATCTCATCACGTAGGCGTTGGATCACAAGAAGGGTGAGGACAGCACAGTAAGACATTTTGAGAGAGAAAGAGAGGCCACATTCACACAACTTTTATTACAGTATATTGTTATAATTGCTCTATTTTATTATTAGTTATTATTGTTAATCTCCTACTGTGCCTAATTTATAAATTAAACTTGATCATAGGTATGTATGTAGGAAAAAAATGGTATTATAGGGTGGTAATACCCACAGTTTCAGGCATCCACTGGGGGTCTCAGAACGTATCCCCTGCAGATAAGGGAGTACTACTGTATTTCCAGGGCTGGTCAGCCTTCACCTAATTCCATTCTCTACACTCCCATTCTATTCCAAGCCAAAGAAGTCACACCATTTCCTAATGAATATAAATAAATGCCGCTGTCCATGATAAGTAAATCAGGAAAACACATTTACCCTGACTTACTGTAATCAGCACATACAGAAGTTAAATAAATGTGATATAAATGAACTAAAGGCCAATCTTACCTATGAATTTGGTGAAAAATCTTAAATATTAGCAAACAAAACATAAAAGTATATTAAAATAATAAGACATTATGACCAACTGGTATTTATTTCAGCAATACAAGGATGGTTCAATATCAGTAAACCAATTACATAATTCATAACACTAATCAAACTAAGGAGGAAAAAATCATACAATCATCTCAAAGATGATGAAATGGCATTTGATAAAACTCAATATCCATTCATGATTAAAAATACTTTTAATAAAATAGGACTAGATGGCTATCTCCTTAAAATGATTAAATATATCTGGGTCAACCCAGAAGCCAGCATCATGCTTAAATGGGAAAACATTATTCTCATTAATGAGCATTCTCGTTAAGGTTGGGAATATAATAAGGAAATCATTATCACTACTTTTAGTTAATAATGTTCTGAGATTCTGGAATACAAAGAAAGCAAGGAAACAAATAAATTAGAGGTACACAACTTAAAAACAAGAGATAAAATTATCATTATTTGTAGGTGTTATGATTGTATATTTAGGGAGGACCCGGGAGAAGCCATTGAAAAGCTTTTACAAGCAAAGAGAATCCAGTAAAATGGATGGGTGCAAAACTACTATAGAAATCAATAAATTTCATATACACAAACAACAGTAGGAAGATAAAATGAAAAACATCTTATTTTCAATAGCAACAAAAACTAACATATCTAGTAGTAAACTTAAATATGCAAGCCTTATATGATGTAAAGTTTAGAATATTCCAGAGAGTCACAAAAAAATATATAAGCGAATGGAAAGGCAATTAATATCATAAGGTTGTAAATTCTTGCCAAGTTAGTTTGTAAACTTAACTTAATCTCATAAAAGTACTCACAGGATTTTTTTTGTATTAGACAAGCTGATGCCAAGTTCATGGAGAATATTAAACAAGCAAGAAGAGCCAGAAAATTTTTGAAAGAGAAGATCAAAAATGGAATAATCATCCTACCAGATAGTAAAAATATATAAATTTAAAAAGACATAAATATATAATTAAAACAGTGTGATATTGATATATAACAGATAACTCAATAGAATATAATAGATGGTATGGAAATCAGTCCAAGTACAGGAATTTGATACATGATAAAGATGTCACTTCAAGTAAGAGAGGAAAAAGATGGATTATTCACTAAATTATTTTAGGATAACCAGGGAGACATCTAAAAAAAAAAGGTTGGATCCACATCTCACATTTCATATGAGGGTAATTTCTTGATGTAAATATTGAAATGTAAAAAAATCAAAAACAAAAGACTAAAAAAAACTAGGAAAAGTCTTCTATAAACTTGGAAGAAACTCTTTCTGAACTCATATATATTATAAAAAGCCCAGAAGCCAAAAATAAAAAATTGCTTACAACTACTATACAAAAACAAAAATTTTATACGACAAAAATCACCATAAACAAAGAGTAACAACGTTAAACACAAACAAGAAACTGGGAAAAGTATTTGTAATTCATATCACAAAAAAAGGCTACATTTCCTTTTTCATCGAGTCCCTACTTATCATTAAGAAAAATACCGACAACCCAATAGAAAACTAGATAAAGGACAGAAACCATAGGTCACAGAAGAGGAAATACAAATGACTCTTTAATATACGAAAGGATGCCAATCACCTATCAGATTGGTAAAGATTTTTTAAAAAGTCGAGTAACACACTGGTTAGTGCACGTGTAGAAATTGCACTCACACATTGTTCCTGGGAGTATGAACCGCCACCACTTCGATGGAGGACAGTTTGGCAATATCTATCAAAATTCTCAATTCCCATGTCCTTCGTTCCAGCATTTCCCTTCTAGGAATTTATCCTACAGATAAATTCACACATAAACCAAATGGCCTACATTCTCAGTTAATTATTGTAGCACTGTTCGCAATAGCAACAGATTTGAAATAAACTTTTCATCACAGGGGACTGGCTACGTAAATTATGGCACATCTACACAATGGAATACCGGGCAGCTATAAAACAAAAAAGAAAGCTCTTTATGTACTAATACGGAATGATCTCCAAAATAAAATTAAAAGTACAATAAAAAGTGCATACAATCTGCTAGCAGGCTACTTTTGTGTAAAGAAGAATATAATATGTAAATTTGCTCTTATATATGTAAATGCGGTCTGGAAGAATGCCTAAGAAACTGATAATAACATCTGTCATCAAGGATAGGACCTGATGGCTCAGTGACAGGGAAGGAAGACAGGACTACTCATTTTGTGCCTTTTGCACCCTTTGAGTTTGAACCACGTGAATGTAGTATCTATCAAAAAATGCACAACACATTAAAGGTTACAATGTGATATAAAGAGTATAGTTATGCTCCAGCCTATCCATACTTATCCTGAACTTGGCTGAAAACAAAGTCTTCTGCTAATCTACATAGCTTTTCGATCAAGGCACCAAAGGAGAGAAATAATTTTTTACTGGAAAACTAAAGTTCCACAATAAAAGATAAATACGGAAGGAAATAAAAAGTTAAAAAAATTAACAAAAACAAAGTTGCACAATAGGGATAGCAGAATCACAGTTTGTTTAAAGCAATCAAACAAATGTCAACAACAAAAAAGAAATCACGTGAGTGTTTAACTAAGCTGTCCCTAAGGACATGTACCAAAATTTTGGTGTGGAGGAGGGGGTAGGAGAATCTGTACATGTTACTTTTCTTAGATATTTCCAAATTGTTGAATGATTCTGATTCTTTGATGTGTTAATTTTATAATTTAAAAAATTATAATCAGATTTAAATATAAAAAAAATCTAAGGTTCCATTGGTAACCAAATATACATAAATGTATTTAAACTAGTAATAAAAAATACAAGCTACCATTTTTTGACTAGAAAAATAGCAACATTTAACAAATATGATACTCAATGCAGGTGACAGTGTGGTGAAAAAGGTCCTCTCATACTTTAGTGGTGGAGTATAAATGGGTACCTTTCCCTTGTTTTGATTGGAATTTACAACATGCAGTTGTAAGAAATAACAGTGCCTATGTATTTTTTTTTTTTACTTTACCCATACTGTTCTCTTTTAAAAAACAATTTGTCAGTGTAAGAATCTTAAAAATATTCACATTTTGCATCCAGTAATCCAATGTCTTGGAACCTAGCCTAAAAAAGATAATTCAAAGGAAAGAAAAAGCTATATGTGTAAAAATGTTCATTCAATACTCTATATAAAATATAAGTATATTTATATATTTAATTTATATATACACATATATCTGTAAGAAAACAGTTCATTAAATGATAACATATCCACTAGATAGAATATTCCACAGCCATTAAATCACATTTTTGTAGACTATGAGGTAATTGGCTGAATGCTTATGATACAATGTTGATTAAAAAAATACAAAATTTTATGTACAACTTAGTAAAAAATATTCATATGGACAATGAGTGGAAAAGTGGTGGAATTATGGTTGATTCATTGTCTCTTTCAAAACTTTCTATAATATAATTTCAAATCTAAGTTTTTCAAATTTTTCAAATTCGAATTTTCCTACTTTTGCCAGAATTTAATTTGAGAAGAGGAATGGAGTGAAAGATGTCTGCTTGTTAATCCAGGAAGGATAACTGGCCAGCACAAACTGTGGACTTCTGTTAGGAAAGAGCCACTTACTTGCAACTCCCTCTGGAGGAGGATGGACCCTCTGCCCCAGCCCGGTGCTACTGAAGGGCTGCACTAGCTTCTCCAGCGGCTGGGCATTGTCCACGGGCAGCACCCTGCCCTGGGGGCTGCTAAAGACATTCCGGAGGTCCTTCCTTTGTCTGGATTCTTGGAGGAAACTCTCAAAAGATTTGTCTTTAAGTCTGAAGGAGGAAAAGAGTGAGGTTTTTCTCTTTGGAACGCTAGAAGAATCTGGGAAGGTCTCTTCCAAACTCACTTTCTCAAGCAGTGTAGGGACATCTTCCATTTTGCTGCAGGGTGGGGATGCGAGTTCAGGAAACATCTTGGATGGCCGGTTGGGCAAACTGCGGGTGCGGAGGGCAGGGTCAGGGGGGCTAGGGTCCGAGGACTGGGCAGCCCTGGCAGTCGAGGTGCCCAGGGAGAAGAAGGCTGAGGCCCTGCTCACCATGTCTCTCTTGGGGGACTGCTGGTCCCAGTCTTTACTGGAGCTAGTTTTCTGAAGGCTGAACGAACGGGCGCTAGCGTGTGGCTGGCTAGTGGGCAAAGTCTTTGATTCTGGCTTGGCCCAGGCCTTCTTCCCACCTTCAGAGTTGGGAAGGAGGGGCCCCAGGGACCTTCGGATGGCATTTGCTATGAGCCGCAGAGGGGACTTGGGTGGGGACACACTTCGCTCCCTTGGAGTCCATTCAGCTGGCGTTCCCATCTTCTCCTGAGGCTCTCTGTGGGCTGGCAGGGTCTCTCTCACTGCCCGAGGGGGCAGCAAGGGGTGGACTGGTTTCAGCACACGGCTTCCTCTACCATTCTCAGCAGTTTTCTGGGAAAGTCGTGTCCCCACTTCCAGGCGCAAGCCCTCAGGGATGGAATCATTCCAGTCCAGCAACCTGGTCTTCTGCTCCTGACTGAGGACCAACTTCTTTAAGCCCAACTTCTTCCCCTCTGCAGGCTCTGACCCATGCTCCTCCCCCCTCCTGGGTCTGGTGCTCCCTTCTCCTGGGTCCTCTCCAGCCCTGGGAGGCAGCTCTTGGTCTGGCAAGCACCTGTCCTTCCCTCTAATGGGGTGTGGGCCTCTGTGGATGCTTCTGGTGTCCCCAAGAGGGGCCTCTGCTTCCTGACACCCATCAGAAGCCCTCTCTGCAGGGCTGGGTGGTGGGGTGCTCGGGAGCCCATCTCCACTAGGGCTCACCAGGCAGTACTCTGCCCGCTCCAGCACTTGGCCACGAGGCAGATACAGGGGGATTTCCTTGAGTGCTCCTGGGGCTCTGGCTCGCCTCAGAAAGATCGGGGTGGAAGGATTGAAATGATCTCTCGAGACCTGTGAGAGCCGGTTGTGAGCTGTCACCTGAAAGGGATGGGCAAAAATAGCAGTGATTTAGAAATTCCCAGCATTTATTTACATGGGGAGGGAAAATCTGAGCCCACATCTCCTTCCCTTCTTCTCTCCAGATCTAGATACTTAAAGTCAAGAGAATTCTGCCTTGGATGATTGTAGAGGGTTGCTCTCCATTCTAAGTGGCAGCCTTGGGACCTGCTGGGATCTACCTGGAGCCCCCAGGTCAGCATGGATCATAGGCTTTTCTGGGTCCTGGATTAGGTGGTAGGAAGCCAGAAGAGAAGGCAAAAGAATTGACAAGCCCCAGAGCCAGTGAGGTATGGCTGTCCTGGCCCCTGTGAGTGGCCAGGAACATGGGGAAGACAGATCCCCTGTGGCTGGCTCAGCCATGGTCCCTACTAACAGCACATTCCACCCACAGGTATGTTTCTCCAACAACTAAGAAACTAAGGCTTCTTCCTTGGAGACTGTTAAGGTAAGGAGAGACAGTTACCTTTCTGGGCTGGAGCTGTGGTGGCAGAAGGATGGCTTTTAGAACATTCCAATGACCCTTCTAAACCTGACTCATGCCTCACTCCATTGAGAAAGCAGCCATTTCTAGCATGCAGGAAGTTGGCCCTTGGCAAAGGAAGAACGTAAGTGGACTCTAGGAGTGGCTGTGCCCTGCTGAGAGCTCTGGTGCCTGAGGGGCAGGTCATGGGGCAGGAGCATCACAGGAGCATGTACTTTTCTGTCTTGTGCACTCTACTTCCCAGAGCCTAGAACAGGGTCTGGCAGGTAACAGAGGTTTGATCAACTCATTCTGAAGGAAAGAGTCCAACCCTGCGTGTCTCAGTGACGCCATTTTCTATTCGAGGGAGATGTTGCTTCCAAGGCTCTCAGCTGCCACCAAAGGCACTCTGAATTCTGGGCCTGCCATCCTCCAGCTGCCAGCTCCTCAACACCCTCTGTGAGGTCCTCAACGGCAGAGCATACACCCTAGCTCCTCTGCATCTCACAGTCCAGCCCAGAGTCCACACCCTGTAAAGTCTGCTGAGGGAGGGAGTGAGCGAGTGGCCGTGCCCTCAGGGGTGGCTAAGAAGGAGCAGGATGAGCTTTCCCAAAAGGGACACACGAGGAAGGTCTGGGGTGGACTCTTGACAGAGCATCTCTCTGGCCCTGGCTTTGCACTTGGGGTGACCTTGGAGTGCTAAGAATCCAGAGTCGGGTGTGGAAGTGGGAGGAGTACAGGGATCCCACCTTCCTAACACCTGCACAGGGCCCTGAGGGGCACTTACCTGAGGTGGGGCGGCACCACCTGGAGCATTCCCTGGGACGATGGCTGAAGAAGACGATGGCAGGGAAGACAAAGGAGAAGACAACGAGGAAGAAGAAAGAGAAGGAGAAGGTTCCTTGGGAGGTGACATGGTTCTTCTGTTGTTCACTGGCGTCAAATCTACCATGGAAAGAACATGCTCTCCATTACAAACCTATTCCTACCTTATTTCATCATGAAAAGAGGAGGTTTTAAGAGAAGCTCCAACTTTATAAATAGAGTCAGGGGAGGAAGGTGTCGGAGACTGATTCAGAGACCCCAGTGCCCACAGCTTGGCACTTGGAGGAACGGGTGTTGGGAGTGGCAGGCTCCTGTGGGGGAAAAGAGGTCCTAGAACGATGTCTAAGAACTCTTGCGTGTCACACTCATGTGAGAACATTCCTGAGTGATGGAACAGGGAGTCTCTAGGGTGTTTATTAGAAATGGACATCTCCCTCTAAAGTGTCCCCTAAAGCCATCATGGTTGGGGGCTGGGGCTACATTAAATCATTTAGTTAATAAACCATCTGAAGCCTCTTCCCACAAGATGCCAGACTCTTAGCCGTGGGCATGGACAGGATAAGCAGTCATTGCTAGTGAAATGCGCTCTTCCTTGTCACATGTGCACCAAGGGGGTCTCAGACAAGATGGTTCGTTTGAGATTTTACAAGGGAGGGAGGTTACACTGAGCATCAAATCATTTGAAGCATATGGAGTGGGGTCTGTGCCGAGCTCTTGCTGGTCAGGGAACAAACGACACGCAGTGTATGTGCTCAGAGCGACAAGGGAAAGGAGTGTGGCAGGGGCTCAGAGGACGAGCCTGCTTCTGAGCTGTGGGAGCTGAAATCAGTTAGTCTAGTTACAGTGGAATTCTGATGGTTGTAGCCTGTAAGATCAATCTCATTCTATCTCTCTCATGAGTGCACGTGTGCACACCCCCCCCCAGGAACCTTGAATCTAAAATCTCAAGCATTTTGTTTCCACATTGGACCCTTTCAGGCAATCTATCAACGGGACTCAGAAAATGCCACGCTCCCTTTCAGATTTGCCCGCCCAGTGTCTGAACTTCAGCCCAGCTGGCTCTCTGGGACCCTCCCGGCACATAAAGGCTGTTCCCCACCGGCTGTCCAGGACCCGCTCCTGGCTGACTCCCTGACTCTCTGCTTCCAGCCGCTCAGCTGACCTATTCCGATTTCCCTCCAAGGTGTCCAGCCTTCAGATTTTAGCTCACTTCTTAACACAGTCCCCTGGTCTCAGTTTCCCCAAAGCTTTGGGTGACAGGCTCCTCCTCAGGGACCCACCCATGCCCCACCCCAAGAAGAGTTCCTTCGAGACCCATTTACGGAGGGGGACCACAAGCGGATTTTCAGTATTCTGTCCTGCTTTCCTCCTACACAAGCACAAGCAAGTCAGACCGTGTATCCCAGGCCTGGGCTCTGAAGAGACGGCCACCACGCACACGTGGCCACTGAGCTCCCCAAAGGAAGCCCTCAGAATGCTTCAGAGGGAAAAGGTAACTCAGAGGAACAGATCTGAGGGTGGCAGGAAGGAGCTGCTGAGGAGAAGGCTGCTGGCTGCCAGGAGCTGACGCGGGGGAGGCGGCTGGCCGGCCCGCCTGTCACCCAAACCCCCATCTCAGCCCACAATTAGATGGTTCGAGCCTAAAAAGGCAAAAGTTGTGAGTCAGTTGTTGCCTTGCTTCCTGTCCTGGGCTTGCCAAATTCCTGCCAAATTCCTTCTCCTCCTCTTCCTCGCCCCCTCATTCTCCTCTCTCTGCCACCTCCTGAATCAAACTCCTGAACTTGTCTCAAAGGCCCCTCAGCCCAACACACTGCCTTTTTGTTCCCTCAAGGAGCTCTGTGGGAACCTTCTGGCACAGAGCCAGGGACAAGCCTGACAGGAAAGCCTTGGGGTTCACAAGGTCATGACCTGGGGGCTGCCCCCTCTCTTTTCCTTTCTCTAATCCCCACCCCAGCTAGTGGGGTCTCTCTCCATACACGTTCCTCACACTCTGTCTTCAGGACAACTGGGGAGGGCGTGAGGAGATGGGGGAAACAAAACACCTGCCATTCGAGCCACTGCCCAGGAGATGGGCGCTGCCTGGAAGGGGAAGGTGAGGCCAGAGGCAAGCTGAGGTGACGGGACAGCTCATCTGCCCGAGGCGCTGATGTCTCTGGGTTCCCTCAGAAGATGGTAAAGGGGAGCCTGGAACCCCACCTTTTCATATCCATACCAGCTGCCTGACACTGAGCAAGTTACCTAACCCCTCAGGTTCCTCATCCAGAAAACGGGAAGCCTAGTGCTGCTTCAGGGGAGGCCGAAGGAATAAAATGGGATAAAAAGAGGTGCCCAGGGCAGGACGCAGTGTAAATGCTATGTGCTAGCAAAATATTAATTCCATCCCCTTCCCTTCCTCCCGTGCACACAAATGGTATCCAATAAAGACACTGCTGACCCGCTCCAGAGAGGGCTGCACACCCACCCTGGCCAGAATTTCTCCAACTTGTGGGCCCAGGGACTCCTCATTCACCAACACAGATTCTTCTCTGCTGGCCCTTTCTTGTTTTCCTTACAACCTTGGCATGGCCCAGCCAGGGCTGCTCTGCCCTCTGCTGGGGCCTTGGTTCTGGGTGCTGCTGGCCCTTCAGGCCCCTTTGTGCAAAGAGGGTTGATGAGCAGACCAGGGCCTGGATTACAGCCGCATGTCCTGTCCGGATCAGGTGCCTCTTCCCTGGGCCCTCCGGCAATGGTGACCTTTCACTGGGATCCTACAGGTGATTCTGGTGAGCACAGTCAGCTGGGGGAGGGTGCTGAGGGCAGTCACACAGCCCCCTCTGCCCTGCTGCCTGGTGCTGGGGCCAGAACCAGCCTTGCTGGGCTGTGGATGGACAGAGGAGATGGTGCCCCACGTTCTGTTCCCTACTGCAGGACCAGTCTTGCCCGTGGGGCTTTCCTTTTGGGCAAAATGCAGATGACCAAAAAGATGGCTCTGGTGGCTTTCAGCTCTGGGGAATTTCACGAAGACGGATTCCAGGGTACCGCTTCCCAGAATTTGGAGCTTAGGCAATACTCAAATCCTCCCAAGGTCTTGGAGCACCCTCTAGGGGCAGGCCTGAACCCATCGCCTCCATTTGTTCCTGCACTCTGTCCAGTCAGCTTGTTCCTTGGTTCGTTGGTTCATTTATTCATTCATTCATTCGGCAAGCAAGGACTGGGTACCTCCTCTGGGCCAGGCCCATGATAGGCACTAGGCCCAGAGCAATGATTCGAACTCAAGGCCTGCCCCCAAACCAGCTTTTATATATGCTCGATAACCCACACCTGATACTCCTGAGATAACTAAAGACACAGTTGGGGTCACCGGGCCCACCCAGGGAACCATGCTGCCGGTTAGCAGTCTCCTCTCCTGAGCCTCCTCCAGCATCCCTGACCCTGCTGTAAGGGTCCCTCACCAGACTTCCTGCTCTCACCCCAGGCTGGGAACTTCATGAGGGCAAGACTGAGCCCCTCCCACTGGCGGCACTTGGTAAGGTTGGCTGGAAGCACTGGACGGAATCTGCACCCGCTGGACCCACCCACAGAAGCAGAATTCCCGTGACTTGGGGAGGGGTTGTGACAGGGAAGTAAATGAGATGAGGAGATGAGGTGTGGAAAAGGCCTGGCCCAGACCTTCCCTGAATGTTAATTCCCTCCTTCCCCTGGCTCTCACTGCCTGGGGCTGTA